CACTCCTATGGACTATTCTTGTGGATTATTCTCAGGACAATGGTATATTTGATTTTACAGGATTTTTCCTTTTGTACAGTATTTACAGGATTTACAGGATTATTTACAGCATTTACAGGATTATTAAGGACTATGGACTTTTTCTGACATAATTGGGCTATTTTGTTTTCCTAGTGGATTACCTTATTGGAACTGTTTCTACTCATTTTATTGGCTTTTTGAATTCTTTTACTGATTTTGGACACCGGTATATTTTTCATGTTTTCTTTGCCTCACTACATTTTGGTAATTAACCAGCATAATGCTTATTTGCTTGCTTTTGCATAAATTGAGCTTTACTTTAAGAAGCTTACTTTTTCTTTAATAAAATAATGATTATAAAAATCAATAGGTTTCCTGAACAGTAAACTTGTCTTGGCCTAGCATACTTAAGGAGTCCTGCCTGTGGTGCATAAGGAGTCTAAGGACTACAAAGCCCACATGATTTTCTATCAGTAATATACAAAGGTACAAGGGTGTTCTTATTAGGGCAGACTTGTAAAAGGGAGCTTTGACACGCCTAGCTGAGTTCTAGGACTCCCTCAGCACATTTTAGGGTGTCCAATCTCCTAATTACTCTCTGTCTGAGTATTCACGCATTCTCCAGGGAACCGTGTTTGTCACACACACCTCCAGTGACACTTTCCATTCTTCCATCTCCTGGTCTGTCTCTACCAATATGCCTTCAACGCAGCCACGACTTCCCTCTGGAATCTGTTCCGTGGAGGACGGCACACCTGCCTTCTCCCCTTTACACTTCCCCCTCCTTTTAGCTGACTAAATTCTTTATTCTTTGAGGTCTGACACTGAGAAATGAAGTGTCCTTTTTCTCCACACTCATAGCAAGTTTTGGGGCTTTGTTCAAAGTAAGGGGGCTTGTCTTCCCTTCAATGGTTTTATACTTCCGTTGATTCTGCTCTGAGGGTTTGTCCCTAAAATGACTTCTAGTAGTCTGTTTCTTCCTGTGGTTATCCTTGAACTCTTTGTGTCCTCCCAGCTTCTACCATCAAATTTTACCTCTGAAAATTTCGGGCCTTTGTTTTCTGATATATAATCAGCCATCTCACTTGCTTGATGTACTGTTTTAAGCTATTTACATCTGACAAAATATCTTAGTTCTCCAGGCAGAACCGAATAGAAATGTTCTAGCCCAATAATATTTTTCATGTCCTCTAAAGTTTCAACATTAGCTTGTTCTAGCCACTTTTCCAAATATCTGACCAGATTGGCTCCTAACTGAGAATATGATTCCTCAGGTTTTTTTTGTCAATGCTCTAAATTTCTTTCTGAGGTGCTCAGCATTGATTCCAAATCTCGCAAAACCCAGTATTCTGAATGCCTCATATTCTCTTGCTTGATCTTGTGCATTTGAGAATAACTCTCAGCTGCACTTAGAGTTCTTAGAATGACCATTTTCTCTTATCCTCTTACGTTAGAATCCCAGCATGCTCATTCAAACAGGATCAAGAATGATTCGGGGCAATCATGCTTTCTAGATTGAGGGAATTTTTTAATGTTCACTTTTGAGATCCCCTCCGCTGTATTATTACTGTTGTTACAGTTTAGAGATGCCAATTCTAATTTTTTCATTTCTAATTGGTATTCCATTTATTTTGCTCTCATTTCCATTTGTCTCCTTTCTGTTTTAGCTCTTTCTTTTATTTCTGTCTGGCTTCAGCCTCATCCCTAGTCCTTATTTCTAACTGTCTGGCTTCAGATTTAGCTTTGAGCTGTAATTGTTGTCTTTTCTCAGCTCTGGCTTTTTCTCTCATCTCTAATTCTTTTAATTTAAATTTCTGCTGCAATATACACCTTTCAAAGTCCTGGGAGGTCAACCCAGTTTCTCCCCCTGAGGCCTTCTCCTGAGCCTCCTCTTGCTCTCTCATTTCAAGAGAGCTCTCCTCTTCATGAGGTAAACTTTGCACATCAACTCCCTCCATAGCTAACTTTTTCTCTCTATTAGAAGACATGTTTCTATGTTTTTCTTTTGACAAGTTGTCTGGTTTTTCCCCCCAGAGGCTGACAGGCAAGCCTAGGTTTAAAATCTTTTTTCCTTTTCTGTGTTAGAGAGACTGAGACAATGTAGCTCTCTGTTGGCAGCTGCAGCTGGCTACTTTATTTCTTTAGGCACTGTTCCTGTGTCTGAGACCCTGCTTCTTTTAGCTTCTAGACAACCAGCTGTTTTCGAAATATTTCTCTTCTTTACATCTCAGTTTCAGTCACCTCAGCTATTTCTCTTGACCCTGTCTTCCACTTAGGTCCCCTCAGTGCTCCCTTTTCTCAGGGCTTTGGGATCTAAAGCTAGCCCCTAGGTCCTTCCTTTCTATGCATGAGGTAAACTTTTAAACCCAGACTTCTCTTCAGAGTCTTTTCCCTGCCTTAGCCTTTCCTAACATCTACGATCTGGAGTCCCTTTCCAAGCTGTTCACTAAGAGCTCTAGGGTTCCCTACTCCTTCTTCCACCACCTTCGACTATCAGGTCCCTCAGACTCAGAAGATTTCTCTTCACTTAGGCTCACTGGAATTCATTCATTTTGAATCCCACTGTTGCCACCACTTTTGTCGTACACCCCCAGTGTCCCCTGTTTGTTTTCCTACTTACAGGTTCACCTTCGAACATGACTTTTTCTTTTCACCCTTTTTCGCTGCCACCAGAGGGTATTATTTTCACTGTACCAATTATGAATCTCAGACTATTGCTGCCAAATATAACATGGTTTTTTTTTTTTTTGGACTTATATACCGCCCCATAGCGCTACAAGCACTCTCCGGGCGGTTTACAATTTAATTATACAGGCTACACATTGCCCCCCCCCCCAGTGAGCTGGGTACTCATTTTACCGACCTCGGAAGGATAGAAGGCTGAGTCAACCTTGAGCAGGCTACCTGGGATTTGGACCCCAGGTCGTGAGCACAGTTTTAGCTGCAGTACAGCGTTTTAACCACTGCGCCACGAGGCTCTATTTATGGTTTCGTAGGTAAATCACAGAAGAAAAATCATGGATGTTCTTTATTCATTCAATAAATGTGGATCAAGGTCTCAATATATCCCGACTGTCTATGTATTTATTACTTTTCTCTTTTATATTCTCTAACACACCAACTTTCCAATATCTTGTCTAAATACTTCATAATCCTCTCCCTAACTGACTCCCTGTCTCACCCCATTCTGTTGACTCTGCCCCTCCTGTCCTTTCATAGGCTCCTGCACTAGAGTTCAAAAATGACTGACAGGAGTGATGTGTGGGCTATCTGGGACAATGTGTAAAAAGACTAAGTTGAATTTTCTCAGTGTTATAGTGTCTTTGCAACCTGATATTTTCTAACTGCTTATATCCTGAGAATACATGAAAACAAATTCTCATCAGGGTTCAACCACCAACCACTCCAACCACTACCCACAGCAAAAAAGAGGCATAATCAAAACACTGGTAGACCGTGCAAATCGGAACTGTGAAGCTCAATTTCTTAGCACCGAACTCAACCATCTGAAGTGGGCCCTACAAGCAAATGCCCATTCTAAGAAAGAAATCACAAGTTTCTCAAACTGAGAAAACAACATCAAACTGAAAAAGAGCTACCCACAAATGAAGTATTTCTGCCATATAAATGGGTAATGGACACATGGGAAACTTTTGAAAAAATACAAACCGAAAAAAATCGGTAGCAGCTGACCATGCCGCAAAACATGCTGGACATGAAATCCTATTTCAAAACACCGAAGTACTGGACACCACCACCAATCATCATGTTAGACTACACAGGGTCTAACTACACAGTTGGTGTGAGATCTCTCCAATATTTATATCCCTTTTTTGTATTCGTTCTTGCCATTTCATTGGACCATTTCAGCAACGTGGAGAGGGGGGATTCGCTGCTTAGATAACAGCCTATCATCCATATTACTTTACCCAGGCCTCGTGCTCTGGAGAGGACACTTCTCGATTCTGAACACATTACCATAGTCTCTCGAGACTGAAGGTTGCCTATGTATTGTTGTTCTGCATCAGTCAGCAAAATCAAACCTTCCCAAAGTTTGGGTTTCCTAGCTTTCACTTTTAATAGACTTCTGATGCACCTCTGAGAAAGCAGTTTTCAGTTTTAGGTCGATAAGTCTTCCTCCCATAAAATAATTTTTTCAAAAAATTCAGAGAATATTTTCTCTTTGACTGAAGCTCAGTCTACATTCTGTGTTCTCCCCCATTTGAGCTCTTTGATGAGAACTAAGGCTATTTGTCTAATTCAAGTATTCCACATTTTATGCATTTACATGATTTATTTGATATGAACAAAGATAACTGCTTCTAATAAAACTCTTTTTACATTCCACATATTTCAATAGTTTCTCCCAACTGTGATTTCCTTGATGTAACAAAAGGTTACTACTGTGACTAAAGCTTGGTCTGTAGAAATATATTGTGAAACGCTGTTTCTATGGATTGAAAACGGTGATGTAGAGTCGGACAAAACAGGATATAAATATAAAGGGGAACCTTTATCTTTATGGTTACTACTCTGTCTGAAACTCTGCACATTTCTTTCCAAATTCCACTCTATGTGGTTGCTCCCCAGTGTGAATTCTTTAATGTAATTAAGGTTTTTTTCTCTGACTGAAGCTTTTTCCACATTCCATGCATTTATATGGTTTCTCTCCAGTGAATTCTTTGATGTAACCTGAGGGTAGAACTGTGACTAAAGTTTTTTCCACATTCCATGCATATATGTGGTTTCCCCCCATTGTGAGTTCTTTGATGTAACCTAAGTTTACTACTCAGATTGAACCTCTATCCACATTCCACCCATTTATGTGATTTCTCTCCAGTTTGAGTTCTTTGATGTGACCTAAGGGCACTACTCCCACTAAAGCTCTTTCCACATTCCATGCATTTATATGGTTCCTCCCCAGTGTGAGTTCTTTGATGTAACCTAAGCTCATCAGTCCGATTAAAGCTCTTTCCACATTACATGCATTTATGTGGTTTCTCATCAGTGTGAGTTCTTTGATGTGACCTAAGTCGACTACTCTGACTGAAGCTTTTTCCACATTCTATGCATTCATGTGTTTTCTCTCCAGTGTGAATTCTTTGATGTGACCTAAGGTTATAACTCTGACTAAAGCTCTTTCCACATTTCATGCATTTATGTGGTTTCTCTCCAGTGTGAGTTGTTTGATGTGACCTAAGACCACCAATGTAACTGAAGCTCTTTCCACATTTCATGCATTTATGTGGTTTCTCTCCAGTGTGAGTTGTTTGATGTGACCTAAGACCACCAATGTAACTGAAGCTCTTTCCACATTTCATGCATTTATGTGGTTTCTCTCCAGTGTGAGTTGTTTGATGTGACCTAAGACCACCAATGTAACTGAAGCTCTTTCCACATTTCATGCATTTATGTGGTTTCTCTCCAGTGTGAGTTGTTTGATGTGACCTAAGACCACCAATGTAACTGAAGCTCTTTCCACATTTCATGCATTTATGTGGTTTCTCTCCAGTGTGAGTTGTTTGATGTGACCTAAGACCACCAATGTAACTGAAGCTCTTTCCACATTTCATGCATTTATGTGGTTTCTCTCCAGTGTGAGTTGTTTGATGTGACCTAAGACCACCAATGTAACTGAAGCTCTTTCCACATTTCATGCATTTATGTGGTTTCTCTCCAGTGTGAGTTCTTTGATGCAACCTAAGGACACTACTTCCACTAAAGCTCTTTCCACATTCCATGCATTTATATGGTTTCTCCCCAGTGTGAGTCCGTTGATGTATCCTAAGGGTACCACTCCTACTAAAGCCTTTTCCACATTCCATGCATTCATGTGGTTTCTCCCCAGTGTGAGTTCTTTGATGGGACCTAAGTTTACTATTCTGACTGAAGCTTTTTCCACATTCCGTGCATTCATGTGGTTTCTCCCCAGTGTGAGTTCTTTGATGTGACCTAAGGTTACTACTCTGACTAAAGCTCTTTCCACATTCCATGCATTTATATGGTTTCTCTCCAGTGTGAGTTCTTTGATGTAACCTAAGTTCACCACTCCGACTAAAGCTCTTTCCACATTCCTTGCATGTATGTGGTTTCTTCCCAGTGTGAATTATTTGATGTGACCTAAGGTTAGAAGTCTGATTAAAGCTTTTCCCACATTTCATGCATTTATATGGCTTCTCCCCAGTATGAGTTCTTTGATGTAACAAAAGCCCACCACTGTGACTAAAGCTCTTTCCACATTCCATGCATTTATATGGTTTCTTCCCAGTGTGAGTCCTTTGATGTGACCTAAGACCACCAATGTGACTAAAGCTCTTTCCACATTCCATGCATTCATGTGGTTTCTCCCCAGTGTGGGTTCTTTGATGTAACCTAAGGACATCACTGCGATTAAAACTCTTTCCACACTCAATGCATTTGTGTGGTTTCTCCCCAGTGTTGGATATTTGATGTGACCTGAAGTGACCACTGTGACCAAGATCCTTCCGCATTCCATGTGTTGATAGAGTTTCTCCCCTGAATGAACTCTTTGATTTGTACTGACGTGACATGGTTTTATGTGGTTTCTCCACTCCGTGAGTTCTTTCATTTGATGTCCATTCCTGCCAACTTGGATGTTCAGTTCTGTTTTCTTGATTCAATATGAGTTCCTGCCCAGAATGCCCCAGGTGTTCCTGGGAAATTACTCTTCTCCTGGTCATCATCTGGTAGATTAGAAAAAGAAGTGAAGCAACCACGTCAGAAATCTGCAGGGATAAGGAAAGACCCATTTGGTCTGAGCCAGAGTCACAGAGGAGGACGGAAAGAGTCCATGCACTTGTAATCTCGAGGTTAGACAACTGTTATGCATTCTATGTGAGGCTGCCTTTGAAATTGATGCGGAAGGTCCAAATGGTGCAGAATGTGGCAGCCAGACTTCTCATTGGGGTGAGAAAACATCAGTATATTTCCCCCAATCTGGCTGCCTTGCCTTGGCTGCCCATTCATTTCCAAATTGATTTAAAAGTTTTAATAATGACATACAAAGCCCTAAACGGTTTAGCACCTTGGTATCTAGTAGAATGCCTCCTCCCACCTAGATTTACTTGAACCCCTCATTCTAGATGAGGAGCCAAACGCTGAGGGCAGCCCGGAGAGAATCAACAAGCGACTGGGCCTTCTCAGCAGTAGCCCCTTGCCTCTGGAACAGTCTGCCCCCAGAGATCTGTCTGGCTCCCTTGCCGGGTGTTTTTAAGAGCAAACGTAAGACCTGGCTCTTTAAGCAGGATTTCCCCTGTTATCACTGGATTATTTTCCCCAACTTGAACTACACCATTACTGTTATTTTCTATTTTATTATTGTGAAGGAGAAGTGAGAAAAGAGAGTGTGCCATCTCCACTAGAAGGAAATACAGTAACAGAAAAGTCAGAAGGAGGAATAGATGAGAGGGGAGAAGATGTGGATAGGAATAAAGGGAAAAAGATTGAAATTTGTCTAGTGGAGGAAGGAAAAGGAGAAAAAGAGGAGGAAATGAAGTTTCCTATCTGGGAGGATGGAAATTAAAGAGGTTACAGAAGAGAGAGTTTTCAGTGTCCCAAGAAATCCAACTGGAGAAAAGAAGGATAGGGACTGAAAGGCGCACCGTCTCATAGAAGATTTAGCAAATCTTTAAGTGGGAGGACTATCACCTGACCCAATAGCGAAAAGAGATGAAGTAAAATCACAGAGACTATCAAATGGATGGTGGTGGTATTTCCAAGGGACAACGGTCACTCGAGGAAGGCAATTTAGCCAGATGCAACCTTCAATAAACCCCCACCAGACTTGCAAACATTTCTGCTAATATTTCGAATAAGTGCTGGAAATGTAAAAACCAAGATGGAACCTATTACCACACATGGTGGACATGTGAGATTGCAAAGAAGTATTGGGTCAAAATTCATACATGGATTAAACAAATGACTAAGCAAGGAATACAATTTAAACTGGATTTTTTTAATTGGGATTAATACCAAATAATATAAATAAGCAAAGTTATTATATAATATCACATGTCCTGGCAGCTGCTAGATTAGCATGGGCACAAGTATGGAAAGAGGGAGACCCACCAAAAGACGAATTGATACTGCGCAGAAATGGACAGACTTACAAAGAGACTAAAGGGCAAGAAAAATCAACTTATTATGAAAGCTGGAACATGTTCTATGAATGGTGGAAAATAAAAACTTCGTAATAAATAGAAAGTAAGTGACCAAAATGAATAATGAGGAGAAGACACTGCTGAAAGAAATGGGTTATTATACAAAAGGCGTTTAGGCTAAGCTTTACAGTACGTATTGTTTGTAGACAGAGACTTAGGCATATGTATGTATATATGTGTCTATGTATGTTTATGTATATGTGTATATGTATTAAAAATAAAAATAAAAATATAAACCCCCACCTGAGGGAGACTGGGCACGCCACCCATGCTGTGACATCATCTGCGCGATGAGGAGTGCCCCTCTGAGGAAGCCAACTAACAAGGAGCACTTTGGTCCAGCTCCTTTATAAAGATGGACAAGAATTTTCAAAAAAATGATACCGGAACTTTATGATCAGTTACCAGATCCAAGTTGTTTTATTCCCACTAAAGTTATTGTTGATTCTCTTGAAGCTAAAGTTAATAAACCTGTTACTGTTTAAAATGAGTCTCCATGGTACTTTCCAACGCAAAAATTGTAGTTGCATTCAAACAACACAGAACCCAGTCACAATTATACTGTTTACTTTATGCATTATGAATATAATGACTGTATTATGAATATATGTATTACGAATATAACTTTTGTAGAATTGTCTCGTCTAAAGTGAATGTACCAAAGATCAATTTTTAAATTATTTTTTATCCTCATTCTTTTAATTCCCCCAATGATTGTACTTGTTTCCAGAAAATTAGAAAGGGATTTCTTGAAGTTTATTAAAGAGGAAACAAATATTTGAATTAAAGGATTGGTTAGCAAAAATGAATACCGGGAGGGAGGGGGAGGACAGTGTTAGAAAGGAAGAGTAAAAGTGGATGAATGTGATGCAGCAACCAAGTGTAGGGTAAGAAGACACAGTGTGCTCTAAATGCTGCACATCACACAAGTACCTTGTTTTACAAAATCAATGCGTCCTCCGAGATGTTATGTCATTCAAAAAATACATAAACTGGAACGCGGATTGCCATAGCTATGGCAGCAGTGCTAAAAACCTGCAGGTGCGAGGAAGCGTCCTTCGCAAACCAGAAGAAATGGGGGGGAAGTAAACTGAGGTATTATTTCGAACTCATTTCCATTTGTAAACCAGAAATTACATAAACTATTGTATGTTGCAGCTTTTAAACTAAATCCTGGAGGATTGCCGACAGGAGCTGAGCGGTGTCCATTTTGGGACTCCTCATCCCTGTGAAATGAGGGTGGAGACGGTAGACAGCCACAAAATGATGACAGTGTAGGAATTAGGACTGGGAACGTGATGGGACGGAATAATTGGGTCCACTGGAAGGAGAAGCAAACAAGCAACTCTTCTTGGGGGACCCCATACGAAGGTGCTGTTAGGCAAATGCCTGAAGCGTCTAAGCGAAGATGGGAGAGCTGGAACATTTGGAGGGGAGGATATAAGATTGATATAGTAGCCATAACAGAAACCTGGTGGGATTCAGAGAACCAGTGGATGCCGCAATCCCAGACTATACATTCTATAGGAGGGATAGGGAAGGGCGTGTTGGAGGTGGGGAGGCCATCTAGGTCAAAGAAGGGGTAGAATCCAGCAAAGTGGAGATGGACAGAAAGCCTGACTCCATCATAGAATCACTGTGGGTTAAACTGCCAGGCACAGGGAGCAATGTGTTGGGGGGAGTCCCATCATCGTCCAGATCAAAAACGTGAGGGGGGAAAGTTTGAAATACACAGAGAAATCAGGGTGGTGTCCAAAAAGGACAGGATGGTAATTATGGGAAACTCCAATTATCCTCACATTGACAAGACAATATGTGCTTCTTGACATGCTAAACGACTGTGCCTTGGAACAATTTCTCATGGAGCCCACCTCAGGAGAGGTGATCTCATATTGTGTGGTTCTCAGGACCGAGTTAGGGATGGGAATGTCACAGAGTTGTTAGGGAATACTGACCATGCTGCCATCTCTTTCACCTTGCATGTTGGGGGGAGAGTGTCAAGCAAATCTGACACAAAAACCCTTGATTTCCAAAGGGAGGACTTCCCTCAGATGAGGAAGCTAGTTAGAAAGAAGTTGAAAGGAAAGGTAAAAAAGAAGAATCTCTCCTAAAGGCATGGAGTCTTTTTAAAACAGCAGTAGTAGAGGCAGAGTGGAAGTGTATGCCACAAAAAAAACCTAAGTCCAAGAAAGTACTGGCAGGCTAGTCGAGCAGAGAGGCTTTGAAGGGAACGAGGGGTCCTTCTGTAAATGGAAATCCCTCCCAAATAAAAAATAAAAAATAAAAAGGAACAGAAACTCTGGCAAAAGAAATGTTAGAAGATAGTACAGAAGGCAAAGAAAGATGTTGTGGAACATATGGCCAGCAATATAAAGAGGAATAATGAACACTTCTTTAAATATGTTAGAAGCAGGAAACTTGTCAGAGAAGTGGTTGGCCCTCTGGATGGTCAAGGACAGAATGGGGAGGGAAAGGGGGACTTGGAGATTGCAGAGAAATTAAATGAGTTCTTCTCATCTGATTCTGCTGCCCGAACTCCCCTTTTTGAATAATGAAGTAAATCAGATACAAGTTATTCTATTCGAACCACAGATGTCACCAGGAGGTCTTCTCCGGGGACCTGGAAATGATCAACAGGGACTCAAATGGGAAGGAGCTTTTTTCCAGCAGTAGAGGCAGCAGAAAGCTATAGAGACATTCCCACCTTGGCTGAATTTGTATATAACAGCGGTTTCCCTGAAGAATATGGTTTTACAACACTGATAGGATTCTCCTTGCATCATGGCGGCCTGTGTGCACATATAAATCAGACACGTTGTATGTACCAGGATGCCTCAAAAGGACTAGTATGGGATCATGGTGTGTTAGCAGACTTGGTTTGCAGGAATCGTGATGACAGGGATAGAGCTTATGAAGATTTGAATTCAGGTTCATGGGACCAGTCTTGGATAACTTCATGGATGCTGGATTTCTTCACCCTGTGATATGTTGTAAATGGAATTGTAGTTCTTATTATTTTGGGATTATTTGCATGTGTTATATCTAGACTTCTGCCTCTGTCTGTTGGTTTTTGTTCAACTCCAAGTCCAGGAAAGGCTAAACAAAGAGGAGCAGCTTTAAAATCAGTGTTATTTCTATTGTCAGAATTTTAAAAGGGCGGAATGATATCTGGATATGGCTGAAATTAGTTTTATTCCTGGTCTTGGAGTAGAAAACCTTATTCTACATATTATGTTCTTAGCAACATTACTTCTCTCTTGAGCTTTGTATTAAGTCAAATGCCTATATTTCACACCTTCCATCCCCTCACCTTTCAACTAGCAGATGACCCAGTTAGGAATGCCGCCCAGAGGTCAAAGAGATAGAATCAGAGAATCTTGGAAAAGTGTAGTTGGAAAGGGCCTAGAAGGCCAACAAGTCCAACCCCCTGCTCAGTGCAGGAATACAATCAAAGCATATCTCTCAAGTGATGATCTATGTTTTTCTTGAATGCTTCCAGTGTTGGAGCACTCCAAAATAGTCAAAACATAAAACCCAGCAAGGAGCTGGAGGCTGAAGGCCATAAATCTAGGTCCTGATTGGACTTTGGTTCAGCTGGTTGACTTCTTGCTGGGGCTAAAATATTGGGTAGTGGGCTTGGTCCATAACAAGATGGTCACTAGTGCCAGAGGATAGCACATATCACGCCAATCTTTAAAAGGGAAGGAGGGGGAACCCGCAATTACAGACCAATTCTATAATGTCTGTTCCAGGGAAGACAGTGGAAAGCCTCGTCCAAGATAAAATCTTAAAATACACAGAACAACAAGCCTTGCTGAGGGAGAATCAGCATGGCTTCTGTAAGGGCAAGTCTTGCCTCACAAACCTTTTAGATCTCGTTGAAAAGCTCAACAAGCATGTGGATGCGGGCAAATTGGTGGATATTGTCCATCTGGATTTTCAGAAGGCATTTGACGCAGTCCCTCCCCAAAAGCTGCTGAGAAAACACCACAGTCGAGGGATAAGAGGACAGGGCCTCTTATACACTGAGAATTGGTTGTGAACTAGGAAACAAAGAATTGTCAGCAGGCAATTTTCACCATGGAGAGAGGTGAAGAGCGGTGTGCCCCAGGGACCTGTCCTGGGACCGGTGCTCTTTAACCTGTTTATAAATGATCTGGAGACAGTGATAAGCAGTGAGGGTTGCAAATGACACTTTTCTGGGTGGTGAAGACCAGAAGGGATTCTGAAGAACTCCTGAATCATCTCTCCAAACTGGGAGAATGGGGGGGGCGGGAGTTAAATGGCAAATGTGTTTCACTTTAAGAAAATGTAAAGTGGAGTGTTGGAAGAGTGAAAAGAAAGAAAATATTTCCTTATTAAGAGTGTTGTTAAGTCTGTAGAACTCCTTGCCACAGGATGCAGTGGTGACATCTAGACTCGAAAAAAATATGTAATCATTAATAACTTGAAGGCAATGTGGAAACAAATGGGTAACCAGTATAAGGCTGCCAGAGGGGGAGGGAAATATGTTAAGAAAGCCATACCCTCAAATATCACCACTTTGCACATGTTCAAAGAAGAACTGTGGTGTCGTGGATGGAGTGCCAGGCTGGAAACCAGGAGAGCTGGATTCAAATCCCTGCTGGGCCAGGGAAACTGAGAGGACAGTGTGTGTGGCAAGGCTATTTAAGCCACTTCTTCAAATCTCACTTACCTTGCAAATGTTGGAGGAATTTTGTTTTTCCTTTTCGGTCCCAAAAACAGCAAAGCGAAATCACCTCAGTCTCACCCCTTCCTAGGAGAAAAGAAAAATAGAAAAGATCAACCTGGACTTCATGGATAAAGCAAATCAAAAATGTTTCCTTGCGGAATGTGCCTTCGTCATGTTTCTCTTGAACGGGGTCACATCGTCATCTCTCTCTGGTCTTCTGGCAGCAGAACAACAGGAACAGAAAGGCAGCCAACAAAGAAACCACAGAAAGGGAGGGAGGGAGGAAGGAAGAAGGATCTCATGCTGGGCTCCGAGATCAAAGCTCCCCGCGTCCTAGTGAGGAAGGGACAACAGGGAACTAAAGAGCAAAAGTACCTGCTTCTCCTTGACACCTGTGATGAAGGCAGCAGCATATAATATGATATTTCTACCACTATTTATTTAAAATATTTTTATCCCGCCTTTCTCCTTTAAAAGGGCTCAAGGCAGCTTACTTTCATCACCAAAAGGCAACATTTAAAAGTTAAAAACAGCAAGTCTATAAACTTTAAAAAGGTTTAGGGTTAACCAATGCTACACTAAAAATAGTAAACAAAATCAACATCTAGAAAACACCAAAGAAAGTGTGATGTAGTGGACCGGCGGTTGGACCAGGCTCTCTGTTCTCATGGGACCATCCCTTAGTTTTGTCACTTCAAGGATCCCAATGCAGGGAGCATTTCCAAAGGTGCCCCCCGACCTCCGTTCCCTCCCTGCCAATGGCCCTGTGTCGTGGGGTTGCCAAACCATGGTGGGCAGAGTTCAGGCCTCAGGACTTTTCTTGCCTGCTGTCTTCCAACCCCCAACCCCCTCACTCCAAACTTGCCAGGGGCTTCAAAAGGCAGCAACCGACGGAGGGGGTCTTGGTGTTGGCTGCCCCTGCTGGAAAGGAAAGCGTTTAACGATCACTTAGGTCTGGAATGGGAGGATTCCCTTTCACAAAGCTAAATGAACGGAACTATCTGACTTGGTCAGTTAAAGCTGAAATGCTGCTGAGAAGTGAGGGTTTGTGGAAGATTGTTTCCAATCCCCCCCCCCACTGTCCTGAATGAGGAACAGATAAAGCAAAATGAGAAGGCTTTAACAACAATAGTTCTGTGCTTGGAGGACAGCCAATTAATACACGTGCGTGGACTGACCTCAGCTAGGCAGTGCCGGAACGTATGTTCAGGACTCTGCTGGCAGCAAATTCGCTTTCACATGTAAATTATACAGAGCAAGACTTGACCATGATGGAAGCAGGTCAGAGCACTTACGACAGATGACAAATCTGTTTGTGGAGCTTGAGCAGAGGGGCATGCAGTTCACAGAGAATCACAAAGTGTATGTGATCCTGAGCAGTCTTGCAGAAGACTATGATGTGTTAGTAACAAGCCTTGAATCTATGCCAGAGAGGGACCTAATCCTGGAGTATCTGACAGGCAGATTGTTGGAGGAAGAGGAAAAAAAAGAATGAGAGGTTCCAAGTCAGAATGAGAGATGACATCCCACACCGGAGGAGACCTGCTTCCAGGAGCAACAGAGAACAGACGGGAAATGCTCTTGCTGTAAGACGCTGTTTCAAGTGTGGATCGGAAAAGCATTTGCAAAGGAACTGCAGAAAAAAAGAAACTAGCCGGAGAAGCAGAGGCAAGAACTAAGGGAGATTTCTCTTGTACAGGCTTCTGAGAACAACTCCAAGGTCATCAGCTGGATTCTTGACAGTGGAGCTGTTTGACTTTGACTCATAAATCAGAGCTATTTTCTTTCCCAGGTGCTTCAAAACACGGCTACGTGAGCCTGGCGAATGGAGAGAAATCGTCAGTAACAGGAGAGGGAACAACTTACGTTCCAGGGTTGCAAAGGGAACTACATGGCATTTTGCATGTGCCCAATGTAGACTGTAATATCCTAAGTGTCTCATGTTTGGACAAGAAGGGGTTTACAGTTACATTTGCTGAAAGCACATGGGAACAGGGTGTGTGCCACAGCAAAACCTGAAAATAATTTATATGTACAGAAGGGAAGAACACAAAACAATGTAACACATGGCATAGTCAAAAGCACACCATCACATGACCAGTGTGCTGATCTGATGCACAGGAGCCTGTGTCATGTTAATTACAGGGTGGTAAAAAATGCAAAAGATGGCAAAAGGTTTGAAAATGAAACCCTGTAAGAATTTTCTGGATTGCAATGTATGCAAACTTACATAATCAAAGGTCCAAAGAATAAGCAAGGAAAGTAACAGGCAAACACAGAGGCCTTCCCAGTTGGTCCATTCAGATGCTATAGGGCCTCTAGCGCCATCTATGGGAAGAGCTAAATATGTTTTAGTCTTGGTGGATGACCACACACGTTTCTCATTCTGCTTCCTCATAAAAAATAAGGCAGAAGTGTTCGACCATTTCATCAGGGCATCGGTGAACTTGGTGGAAAGATGTTATAGCCAAAAGGTTCTCCAGTTGCAGACAGACAAGAGGGCCTCAGTTCATGTCTGGAAAGTTCCAGATGTGACTGAAAAAGATAGGGATACATCATTTTAAAAAGTCCCTATTCCCCATTTCAAAATGGTGTGGCAGAACACAGGAATGGAGCCCTGCAAACCACGAAAGACGCCCTGTAGGCGTATGCTAACATGAGTAACTTGGACTGGGGTGCGGCATTTCAGATGCTGAACTATATAGTTAATAGAATTTGGTCTTCTGCCATAGAACAGACCCCATATTTCATGTTATATGGCAAAGAACATTCCCTGCAACATATGAGTGTTTGGATGCAGTGCCTGGTTTGGTGTGGGGGAAATAAGAGTTTGTCACGTGTTCCATGAACCTAAGTAAGAATTATCAAGAGTTGTTGCTTCTGCCTGAGGCAGAGAAAATGAAATTGCAACAAGTCATGAAAGAAGAGTTACAATCTATGGATGACCATGGAGTGCTTACAGAAACCACATTGCCACCAGAACATAAAGCAATTGGGAGCAAATAGGTCTACAAAAGAAAAATGCAGAAAGGGGAAAGAGCCCCTTGAGAGAAAGGAGGCAAAAGGGTCCTACCCTTCACCCAAAGAAAGTAGGAGTCCAAACCAGCAAAGAGAGGAAATGGGATAAAAGGGAAAAGGGGACCTCCCCCCGTGGGATATGAAGGGAAGTGAAAAGGAAGGAGGGCACCCACTGGGAAGACCCCATCTTGGTCCAGTTCAGCCTTAGTCCATTGTTCCTTTATCCTCCCATTGAGGGAGAAGGTGGGAACACAAGTGTAGTTACCTGTTAAGACATTATCATAAGAGTCCGAAGTACAGGTGGATGGTGCAAAGCAATATCCCCCAGTCTGGCTTGTCCGTTCAGGGGGAACAAGAAGGGAGCCTTGAAGAGGAACCCCACAACCCAAATCAGGATGATCAGGTTTGCTTCTTATCAAGAGGACCTGCCCTTAGAGACCATGGGTTTGGAGTGAGCAGCATTGAGATATTTAAAACAAAAAACTAAACAAAATGTAAATTAAATACTGTAATCAATCAATCAATCAATCAATCAATCAATCAATCAATCAATGTCTTCTATTTTTACCCTGCCCATCTAGATTCAAGAATGTACTCTGGGTGGCTTAAAAACAGCATTCCGTAACTTTGTTCCTGCAAGCAATAAAGATCAATAAAGAAAACAGGATCCAAGATGGGATAAGGAAGCTATGTAATGAGAGGGGGAATGACCTGGGAGAAGAACGAAGTCTTCAGCTTGTTTTTAAAAATTCTCAGCGAGGGTGCCATTTGGATCTCTGGGGGCAAGGTGTTCCAAAGACGAGGGACCACCGCTGAGAAGGCCCAGTTTCTTGTTCTCTCCTTCCAAGCCCCTCTTGGGGTTAAGCCCCTCAGCCGCCCGGTCTGGCTTGATTGAGTGACGCCAGTAGAGCTAGGTGGGGACAAGCACTCTACTTGGTATCGAGGCCTTAAGCCACTTAGAGCTTTATATGTAACCATTTATATCCTACAAAGTAGGATGGTCTAGAGCAGACATGGTCTAGAGAGGCAGGGTAAAAATCCAATAAATAAATAAATTATTCATATGGTCGCATAGACCAGATGGGCAGGATACGAATCAAATCAAATCAAATCAAATCAAATCAAATCAAATCAAATCAAATCAAATCAAAATAAATAAATAAATAAATAAATAAATAAATAAATAAATAAATAAATAAATAAATAAATAAATAAATAAATAAATAAATAAATAAAGTTACATAGAATTAATAAAGATATATTGGATAAATGCTGGAGGAACTGTGGACAAAATGGAACTTTGGAACTGTAGCAGAATGCTAAAAGGTGACATCATTCCTCCCTGTCCATCACAGCAGCTAAGGGGGAGGAGCCAAGGATGGAGCAGGAGGGGCGGAGCTAGAGTGACAGTTAGGGGGGTTGAGAGGACAGATAGACAGTTGAAGTTAAAGAGAGATAGAAAGAGTCAGGGACCAGAAGATGCAGAGAGAGTGTTAGGGTTTAGGAATAGATCTAAGGGGGTTAAGAAAAGAAATTGAAAAGTTAAAACACACACTGAACAAGGAGGAATGAATGCACAAGCACTACTTGAAAGATATTGATTTTAAGCATACAACAGCTCAGAATGCAAGTAATTCAAAATACTTTAACATCTGAAATAGTTCTCTGGTGATTTTCCTTTTTATTTGTTCAATAATAAAAGAGTACTTATTCAAAACCCCTGATTCCTAAGTTATATGACCCGTTGGGGTTGCAGCTCCTGTGTGAGACATGAATTGGTATTAGGAGAATACCTGGTGGCAGCGTGTTTACCTGTGTGGAGCCCAAAGGAATAGGGACAACAAAAGGGTGATCGCCACAGGAACGTATGTGGATTTCTTGCCCCAAAACAGAAGCATTCTGGCATGAGCTAATTAGATGGATAGAGACACTGATCAATCAAAAAATAGATATGAATGAAACGTTATTGTTATTTTCATTATTTACAGGGGGAAATGAGAAACTTGAAAATAAAGAATGAGTAGCAAATCTTACAGGCACTGCAAGATCTGAGATCACTAGAAATTGGAAAAATGCTCAAGATCTCTCTTTACAAGCATTTATGAGTAAGATATGACATACAATGTTGATGGAAAAAATGACTAATAAAGTTAGACTATATAGAGGAGAAATAATGCATAGTCAATTCACTAAAAACTGGAAGCCTATATTAAAATATGCCAATAAATTAAATCTCAAGACACGTGGTTTGGAAAACAATCTGGAGCATTTAGATTGTTGGTCGTTATTTCTGTAAGATGAGACGGGGTATGATATAAATGTAATTTTTAGAAATGTGGGGAACAGCAATTGGTCAACAGTTAAATTATATAACAAGTAAGATGACAGTTTACTATGTTAAGTGTTGTATTTAATTTATTAGAAATTAAAAAGAAAAAAAGAAACAGAAAAAAGTTATGCATGCATTAATACCCTGAAATAAATGCGGAAACGAAAGGATAACCAGTATAAGGCCGCACAGGAGGAGGGAAATACGTAAAGAAAACCATGCCTTCAAACAGCAACACTTTGTATATGTTCAAAGAAGAAGTGTGGTTTCGTGGATGGAGTTGCCAGACTGGAAACCAGGAGAGCTGGATTCAATTCCCTGCTGGGCCAGGGAAACTGAGAGGAGAGAGTGTTGTGTGTCAAGGCTACTTAAGCCACCTCTTGAAATCTCGCTTACCTTGTAAATGTTGGAGGAATTTTGTTCTTCCTTTTCGGTCCCAAAAACAGCAAAGAGAAACCACGTCAGTCTCACCCCTTTCTAGGAGAAAAGAAAAATAGAAAAGATCAGCCTGGAGGCTTCATGGATAAAGCAAATCAAAAACGTTTCCTTGCGGAATGTGCTTTCATCATGTTTCTGTTGAAGGGAGTCACATCCTCATCTCTCTCTGGTCTTCTGGCAGCAGAACAAGAAGAAAAGGAAGGGAGGCAGGGAGGGAGGGAGGAAGGAAGGAGCATCTCATGCTGGGCTCCGAGATAAAAGCTCCCCCGTCCCAGTGAGGAGGGAGCAACAGCAGGGAACCAGAGAGCAACAGGACCTGCTTCCCACTGACACCTGCGATGAAGGCAGCAGCGTACATGATGGCATTTCTACCACTATTTATTTAAAATATTTTTACCCCGCCTTTCTCGTTTAAAAGGATTCAAGGCAGCTTACTTTCAACACCAAAAGGCAACATTTAAAAGTTGAAAACAGCAAGTCTATAAACCTTTAAAAAGGTTTAGGGTAAACCAATGCTACACTAAAAATAGTAAACAAAATCAACCTCTAGAAAACACCACAGGCCGTGTGATGCAGTGGACAGAGGTTGGACAAGGCGCCCTGTCCTCACGGGACCATTTGTGACTTTTTGTCACTTCAAGGATCCTAAGACAGGAAGCGTCTCCAAGGACCCTCCTCAGCCTCCGTGCCAAGTGCCCTGTGTGTTGTGGGGCTGTCAACCCAAGGCGGTCAAAGTTCAGGTCTCAGGAAAACAGACACACACACACACAGTGTGTTTAAAAGAGCAAGAGGTCCAGTGGAAAGGTGCAGGGAGAACCCCCACCCTCGCAAATCCCATTTCTCCTGCCCGCCCTCCAAGTCCTCCATTTCCCGCCTGCCCCCCCAGCGCAGCCCCATTGCCTTTCTGCCCCCCCCCCCCGACTTTGGCCCTTTAAGGGAGGGGGGGGGCTGAC